GCAGGAAACACAATCAGTATGGACTTTAAAAGGCAGTCCCTCAGAATAGTCAGACTCCATTCACACTTGTGCAACTTAATGCGACTTTGGCCATCAAAGTAGCATGCATGCATCTAAACATTTATAATCAAAAGAACCTAAAAGAATGCCTAGAAGTCCAGTCAACAACTCCCCTAAAGGATAGGGGGAGGGTTTCAGCTTCAGTTTCTCTGTTGTGGTAGCTGATTGACCAACCGATAGCAGTGCCCAGAGAAGACAAAAACAGGAAAACTTCGGAAAACTTCAGGCTAGTTTTTAGCTAATCCCCCTAAGACATCCAAACAAGTCCATAGTTTACAAAGTGTTTACATCGATACTATCTTTTCAACAACAATTCCCCCCCCCCCCCCCCCATTGTTTTATGGCAGGGGTTAATACCACAGATACTTACCTGCTTATACCCATCCAGCTGAGCTCTCAGCACTTATCATTGGCTGACAATTCTGTGGGAAATGAAGGTAAAACACTTCCAATCCCAACCTGTTCTGCTCCAGCCAAGACCAAATTTTCCAAGCAGCTATGTGGTCAGGTTACTTGTTCTTTTGACGCTATTGACTTGAACCTCTGCTCAGGGTCAGTCTTTTGGGATAAAAGTTCTTTAGGTAGTTGTACCTCCTTAATCTGGTAAATTCTTGCCTATCCTCTCTGCAGTTATCCTGGATAGATGACTGGGGAAAATCAGTTAGACTTGCCAGTAACTCTATTTTTAGGAGTCTTCCAGGCAGCTGGGATCCCTTCCCTATTATGTTCTTTTTTCTCTTTCAGTCTGTGTAAATGACAAAAAACTGTCTGTTCTGAGGGCCCACCTTTTAAAGTCTGTGGTGATTGCGTGTCCTGCTCTCTCAGGTGCTATCCTGCGAGACTCCCAGAAATAGTTACTGGAAAGTCTAATGCCAGCCATGCATGGGTCAAAATTCAATCAATTTTTCATCTGAAAATTGGACCTAAGAATAATCAGACGATTTTCGCTCTGTTAGTGGTTCAACGGCACCAGCCGATTTTTGTGGTTCCTCCCCTTTTTGGTAATCAGGCATGTTGGAAAATTTGTGAAAAATTACCGATTTTCGACTCGATGGTCAAATCGTATGACCGTTTTTTCCGAAAAGAATATGCGTATGAGCCCTGACCTGGAAGGACCAGAAGTTTTGCCTGTTATATGGGGTGAACTTTATGACTTGGTTGGCCGATTTTCGAAATCATGGATGGCACCATTGGGATTTTACATCTGTCCATGATAACGCAGGACATTTGTCAATTATGTTTTTCAGCTGTGTCAACGTTCAGTATCCTGCTTCGATGACTGCAGGGCCTTTTTGATCAATCAGATCTCCAAAACTACTTATTGGCATTTGTGGGGATACCTAATATTTGTTGTGCATTAGATGTTTACAAGATTCACACCATTGGGGTGCTTTACTGCAAAGTGGTTCAAAAGGCAGAAGGTTTTTTTTTTTTTTTTTTTTTTTTTTACCTTAATGCATTGTTTACGTTACAGTAATAGCAAAGTCCCCCACCCCCCCCCCCCCCCCCCTCCAGGGCCCATGTTTACCCGGTCTTTCTTGTGGGCCTTGTTGTTTGAATGGCCGAGCTGCAATGATATCACTACCTCGCACGTGCGGGAGCAACAGCTGCAGTGTAGCACTCTGAAGGGACAGTATTTGATTTCTGACATCTAGGGGGATCTTACAGATGTGGTACATGTATAGTTACATTGGTCCAAGCTGGAATATGTATTAAATGGCATACCTGGAATTCTAAAAATTAACACTTATACAGCCTAAGAACTACATCTAAGAACTGGTAAACTGAAATATATTAAATGTTGTTCTTGGATTTAGATATTCTTTAAGGAATTAATTTTATTGGTTCAGCATTGAAAGTTGTCCAGCTTAAAACCTGCTTTCTCTGTGGAGGTTAGAGCATCCTCTCATTTTTCTGTATTCAGACCAGCTAGAAATACTGATATTTTTTCAGGTTTGTTTTTAAGTAACTGTACCGATGATGGAGTAATCCTGGCACGCTTCCCACAGTTTTCATCTTTGCTCTCTGAACAAAGCTGTAGCTGCCACATGTACAGTTCTGGCTATGTGGAAGCTTCTTAAATACATCTATAGTTCAGTGTTTGAGCATATGTAGTTTTATTAAATGTTTCTAAATCATCTGCTCACTTAGTAAGGTCAATGAAAACACTTAAAGGAAGATAATAGGTGTAGAAGACAAAACGAAATGAAGCCTGCATGGATTAAAGTGATACTAAATCCTTAATTAAGCCCACTGAAGTGACTAGCTGCAGCCACAGTAATCAATCAAATCCTACATAAACTGTACCTATTTATCTGCAGTCCACTCTTCTCTAGAGCTATTCAAAACATACAGATCAAAGGATATTTCTCAGTTTGCAGGATGCAGTGGGCAGGAATCTGATGTCATACACTGCTGAGTACAGAGCTGAGAAATCTGAGACCCGAGTGTAGAGAAAAGACACACCCCCTCTACACAATCTCATAGGGAAACATGCACATCTGAGGGTGTCAGTCCCCTGTGTGCCAGGAGGGCAGGGACATCTCCAAAGATAGCCTTGTTTCGGAGGGGAAAAAAGAGATCAGATGGAATCTATACTAAGTACTAAAACTTTAGGTAAACGCTATAGAAGGATATGCTTTGTTTTTCATTTCAGGGGTTTACAACCACTGTGGGGTTCAAAAGCCATAAATAGGAAAAGGTAATTTTTCTTTAATTGAAATATAAAGAAAGACTATTGAGTGTCTTAACCATTTGCTGACCAGCTACAGTAAATATACTGCTGTGGGGCAGTATGTGCAGACACAATCACATACGTGTACGTCATTTTGCTTGCTCCAAGTTAGGAACACGAGGTGTGCCCCTCCAGTGGACACATCGGATTACAGTTATTGGTAATCCTCCATACCTGGGTATCATATGATTGGTCATAGCGATCACATGATAAAACAACTGTTTGGGGGTCATTTGCACTGTCCTGACAATTTAGAGCCTCAAGAAATTAGATAGGCCATCAATATAGCAGGATTGTTCAGTTTTCGTGTGTGTGTGTGCGCATGCGTGCGTGCGCGCGCGCGGACTGACCATTTGGAAACTCGGCACTGCCCGGGGTCAGTAGGGGGCCCCATGAGATGCCCCTGGTACCTTTTTCATAGGCTTTTTTGAATTTGGGCAAGGACACAGGGGCCCCATGATCCCCTATTGCCCGGGGGCAACATGAGTTGTCAGTCCGCCTGTGTGTGTGTGTGTGTGTGTGTGTGTGTATGTGTGTGTATATATATATATATATATATATATATATACATATATATATATATATATACATATATACACACACACCATAGTTTTGTAGATGCTATTACTTTCATACAAACCAATTAATATACACTTATTGGGATCTCTTTTTTTTTTTTTTTTTTTTTTTTTTTTTTTTTTTTTTTTCCCCCACCAAAGACATGTAGCAGAATACATTTGAGCTGACATTTTATGAGGAAATGTATTTATTTTTCTTATTGCATATGTTTTATAATAGAACATTTTTGTTTATATAATCAGAAATAAACCCAGTGGTGATCTAAAAAATCCATTCAAATACCAACAAAAGAAAGCAATCTTTGTGTAAAGTGATATAAATTTAATTTGGGTACAGTGTTGCATGACTGTGCAATTGCCAGTTAAAGTAGCACAGTGCTGAACAGCAAACAAAAAATGCCCTTGTCATGAAGTAGATAAAACCTTCAGGGGGGTCAAACCTATGCAAAAATAAAATCAGTCTGGTAAAAATGGAATATAAAAGGCTGGTTGTTAAACCGAGCATGACATAAAATTCTTTAACTGTATAAACAGCAATAAGACAAAGTCTGAACATGTAGGCCTTGCAACAACTGAGAACTTGTTTGTTCCTTGGGACAGAGTGTACATGTTAGATATTTTCTTTTAACTCCTGTGTAAAGAAAAAAATGTCCTTATGGGCCTGAGGTTCGCATAGTAAATGCCAAAGGGCCACAGGTTGGGTACCAGGTTTTAGGACGTGTAAAAAGGTGAATCAATAATTAAAACGTATCTGTGCATAGATTGCCATCACATGCTGTCATTTATTCTGCCATCTGCAGCTTCTAAAACCAGCAAGATAACTTCTTGTAGTAAAATATGCGTAGACCCCAGAGAGCAAGAGATAATGTTGCCTCATTACAAAGCATTCGTTAGAGGTCGTCTGCACCCTAATGGAGACATAGAGATAAGTTCTGGAAATCGTATCAAAAGTATACTAAATCAGAATGGGGCACAGAAACGCTAAACATGGTAATAGCATGCTTCTAGAAGTGTCTGCTTTTAGAAGTGACTTAAAATAAAATACAGGTTTACTTTAAAGGATAAGTTCACTTTTTAAAAAAAATAATAATTTTGCAGGTAAAAAAAAGTGCATTTACTATTTTTATTCATTTATTGAGACTGGAAAGCATTGCACCAGCGATCAGCAGATTGCTGGTTCCATGCAGGACTCCTGCAATCTATCATTATATCTGTGTGCCCATACATCCCATACAGGCAAGCAGATACAATTTGACAGGAAGACTCAATGAACTACCACAGCTCTCAACAGCGCCATGGTAGTTTATTGAGAACTACATGCTGACAACCGCAAAGGCAGCCAGGACTTGTAGTTCATTCATTTACAGAACTCTGTGAATGAATGATGCAGCCGTGTGGGTGGAGTGTCGCACGGCCTCCCTGTTTTCAAAAAGTGACTGCTACTATGAGGAACTTCTCCCTGTACTGCTGTCACAGGAAAATGGGTAGAACATGTAACATGGTCCCAAAGGTGAATTATCCTTTAAGGCAATATATGGTACAAAAGTCTTTATGTTCATTATTGGACTTTGCTTATGAGAACATGTTTTAAAAGCAAATCCTTATGATGTTTTCATTTTCTTTTAAAGGTCCGGTTCAGAACCCTTTGATATATCCACCTGTTGGACAGAGTTACAGTCCAGGACTTCCTGGCTCCTATCCACAGCAGATGCCAGCGAAAGCACCTCCACAAGCAGTTGCCGGACTATACAATTATGGTGGTCCTCAGACTATTCCTCAGTCTGCTCCACTGCCAGGAAATTATCAGGGATCTGGACAAACTGTTAGTAGACCACCTATGGGACCTTCTTCTGTGGCACCTCCCCTAAATACTTCATCTGCATCCAGAATGCCACCTCCACTTCAGAACTCATATGGATCTCCCGCAACCGTTGGTGGCAGTGTTTCTCATGCAACACAATCGACACACTCAAACTGGCAGTATTTTCCAACACCAATAAGTCATGCACAATCTCTGGCCAATCATGCACCATCCACAACGGGAATGTCGCCGGGGCCACTGCCAATGGTGGGCAATTCACAGCCTCCAACTACCCAGCAGTATAGACCTCCCTTTGGAGGGACCCCCACTTCAAAACAGTTTTATGAGCCCAGGTAAATCAGTCATTTGAACATTTCTCATTTTTTTTTGTTCGATAACTGGGAATATTAAAAATATTAAGATTATTATCAGTGGTAATATTTGCATTATTACTCCTCACAAAAAGAGATGGCAATACAAATGTAACTGTATTCATTCAGTATATTTTTAAGGTTTTGAACTGGTTTGGTTAATTACAAAAGAAGTGTTTGTAAAAAGTTGGTCTTCATAACTTTAAAACTCAGTTATACCTTAAATCCACTAAATACATTCCAGGTGTACCACATCAAAATGTATTTAGGATTGGAGCTCTTTAGTGTGCAAAGTTCATGTTCTCTGCTGAGTGGAGCGCTCTAGTTGTTACTCAGTAGGGGGCATCAGACCTCTGCAAAGAGACTGCTGCTTCTGCACAGAGCTCAAGGGTCCTCCTTTGCTACATGTTGGCAGAGTACAGGCTTTTGGATTCCGGATGTAACTACTGTATGAAGAAAACCAACTGTAAGACTTTGCATGCGTTTGGTTTTGATCCACTTGCAATGTGTTTAGCTCATTCAAACAGTTCAATTGGGCTAAAAATATTTTTTTTACTATTCACACCTCTTGTGCACTTCTGCATGGAAACCAATCAGCATCCAGGTTTTATTGTTAAAGCTTAATCGAACAAGCTGAGGTTAGAGGCTGGCTACCATGTACAGGTGCACCAGATTCTGAGTGAACCAGCTTTAGTAAAAAAACCACTTAGTATATCTAAACCCAATCGTACATGCTTTGACATACTGTAGTGTGTGTGAAATGTATAGCAGCATTATGATCAACTTGTCACAGAATTTGAATGATTGTAAATACCTTTTTTAAAGGATAAGTTCACTTAAAAAAAAATAAATAAATAAAATTAATGCCCTTTTTTTTTTTTTTTTTTTTTTTTGCTCATTCGCTGGTGCCATGCAGGAATTCTGCAAACTGTCAGTGTATCTGTGTGCCCGTACATTCCGTACGGGCAAGCAGATTCAGTCTGACAGGAAGACTCAATGATCTAACACGGTGCTCAACAGCGCCGCAATGCTGTTGGAACTTGTAGTTAATTCATTCACAGAATTCTGTGAATGAATGACACGGCCATTGGATGGAGCCCCACATGGCCGCACTGGTTTCAAAAAGTGACCGCTAGTACAGGGATCTTCTCCCCGTACTGCTGTCACAGGGAGGGGGAGGATGCTGCAGCGGTGGGAACATGTTGCATGTTCCACCCTAAAAATGGGGTACCATGTTCTCAAAGCTGAAGTTATCCATTTAAACTTTCTGTAACTTGGTCATAAGCCAAGGTTATTTCCCCTGCAAGTCAATGGGCAATATGTGGTAGGAGTTAATTTCCAGTTTGTGACATGTCCTGTACAGGGGACTGTATCAGGCCGCGTTGCGTTTCCACCCTGAACACAAGTAATCAGCACTGTCAAGGTCACCAGGCATTTACTTTCTACTGCCCTATTTTTGAAACAAACATCCACTACAAATAGGGAAAATTTAATGATACTCTTAACACATCTGAATTGTTATTATAAAAAGAAAATGTTTCTCTATATTTGGTGGAGGATTAAATACATAACAAAAGCCTTGACAATTTTGATGTATGTCATTTAATTGTCCTAAAGTAGAACTAAACTCTCATATCCTTACAGCCAAGAAATGTGTTATCCTAGCCTTTTCTTGATCTGCAGTTGACATGGTACTGCACATGTGATCAGTTATGACAATTCAGATTAGATCACAAGCAACTGTGACTATATCCTACAAGGAAAAGTTTTAGCACCAGTGCTGCAGTTTTGTTTGTTTTTCTTGCAGGATATTGGTATATCTGTATTCATTGCATGCAGCTATTTGTTTTGGTTAGTGCTGACTTCACACATTTTTTTATAACGGTGACTATATCATTCATGGCATGCCTTTAAATATAATAGTTTTGGGAAACAGTTAAATCAATGGGTTTAGTTCTGCCTTAACCCCAGTTTGCCCTGCTTTTTTATTATGGAGATGTGCAGAGAAGGGTGCTATAATTACAAAAAATGTTTTAGCAACATACTTCTGTTCCTTCAGTGAGCTATGCATGCAAGTATCTGTTACAAAAGTAGACTATTATTTGTACAAAGTGCATGCATTTGCTTGTTACTTGAAAATTTCTAGTGCTCTTGCCAAGTTGTCCTTGAGAGGGAAGGGATATGGACAAGAAATTAAAATGGAACTTCACTCTCTCAATCAACATGGACTATATCTAATCCTTATGCTGCCAGAATGAGCAAATAGTTAGGAAAGTATATCATATTTACTTGTTTTAACCTTCTTTTTTTTTTTTTTTCTTGCATTCCTTCATTTACTTCCTGGTCTCCATGCCTAGGCAAATGATGTCATACATCCCAGGAGTCTCCAGGGATGAACCAATACCTGAACTAAAGACAGATGGATTCCAGGAAGTAACTGCTACATAGAGCATCTGCCCTTATTAAGTATGGCCATTGCCAGAAATGCCAGGAGGTGTTTTTCAAAATGATTTCTTAGCAAAATAAAGCATGGAGACATGGATGGCTGGAGGAGTTTGTTTTGAATATTAAAAATGAATTCTATATGGTGGAGAAAATAACTATTTGATCCCATGTAAGTTTGCCCACTTAAGAAATGAAGGGTCTATATTTTTCATCATAGGCATCATAGGTGTAGTTTAAATGATGGAGACAGAATATCAACCAAAAATCCAGAAAAAAACACATGATACAAATGCTACAAATTGAGTTGCAATCAACAATAATTCTGTCTACCACTGACTGGCTTTTCAAAGGACGTCAGGGACATGATTGTAGACCTGCACAAGACTGGTATGGGCTACAAGACCATCAGCAAGAAGCTTGGTGAGAAGGAGACAACTGTTGGATCAATTATTCACAAATGAAAGAAATACAAAATAACCATTATTGCCCTCGGTCTGGTGCTTCATGTAAGATTTCACCTCATGGGGTAAGGATGATCATGGGAAAAGTGAAGGATCAGCCCAGAACTACACGGGATGAGCTTGTGAATGATCTCAAGGCCGTTGGGACCACAGTCACCACCAAACAAACAATTGGTAACAAAATATGCATCCGTGGACTGAAGTCCTGCAGTGCCCGCAAGGTCCTCCTCCTCAAGAAGGCACATGTACAGGCCCATCTGAAGTTCACTAATGAACATCTAAATGATTCACAGAAGGGTTGGGAGAAAGTTCTGTGGTCAGATGAGACCAAGATTGAGCTCTTTGTCATTAACTCGACTCGCTGTATTTGGAGGAAAGGAAGAAAAATGCTGACTATGACCCTATGAACACTATCCCTACAGTCAAGCACAGAGAAGGAAACATTATGCTTTGAGGCTTTCTCTGCTAAAGGTACAGGCCGACTTTGCTGATTGTCTTGTAGCCCATTCCAGCCTTGTGCAGGTCTACAGTCTTGTCCCGGACGTCCTTTGACAGCTCTTTGGTCTTGCCCATGATGGTGAGGTTTGAATGGAGGAAAGAGTTTCTGTGGACAGGTTTCTTTTCTACACATAACAAGTTGTCCTTAGGAGTACCTTCTTAAGTTGACAGGACTAATCTATATACCACATAGCCAATCTGTGGAAGCCAGAATTATTGTTGGTTGGTAGGGGATCAAATACTTATTTTATTCATTGAACTGCAACTCAGTTTATAACATTTGTATCATGTGCTTTCGCTGGATTTTTGGTTGATATTCTGTCTCTCTATCATTTAAAATACACATATGATGAAAATTATAGACCCTTCATTTCTTTGTAAGTGGGCAAACGTATAAAATCTGCAAGGAATCAAATAATTATTTTCTCCACTGTAGCATTTTTTGGTTTGTGGTAATCGGATGCAGTGCAGTTCCACTTTAAGTCTTGAGAGCGAATCCAACCCTTTTAGTTATGAAGTTATGAATAAAAGAGAAATGTTGTTTCTCTGCTTACATGAACAAATTATTTCAGTATATTTTGTAGCTTTTTATAAAGGCTTATGTGAATAATGTGTTGATTTGCATTAGACTAAACCTAAATTTGCATTGTAAATACTTTAAACATCTGTTGTCCTGACCATGATTTCCAGGTCCTACTTCGCCACCAATGAGCCAGTCTGAGCCAGTCCGGCCAAATTTAGGGCCTCCTCCCACATCATCCCCTTCTTTGACAAGACTCTCGGTACCACCCACTGGTCCACCTGTCAGCACTGCACCTGTGCCTCCTGTGGGTAAGTGTGCCCATCTTCAAAGTATTCAAATTACACCTATGTTTTTTTTTAGCAAACAATATGCTGCAATTTTTTTTTTCTTTTTATTATGAACTTTTTACTTTATATTTGAAGGGTAATGTTAAAGGGTAGCCATTCATGAAATATGCTGTGAACCATTACAAGATTCATAATATGGTTCTTGTGAATTAAAGTAGATCTAAACCCTAACTTGATGACATTAAGTTTCATATACACTGTACATAATAAACCGTTGTAATTACTTTTTCCAGAAATAAGTTTTTTTACTTTTTTTGCATATTCTTGGTATTAACCTCCTCCAACCTTTTTCAGTCACTTTCTGTCTACAGGGATAAAGTCTCCTGTATTTGCTCCATTAGCTGCAAATTATTGTTTAGGGTGAGCTTTCTGATTGTGATAACATGTCTGTGCAATATATAAAAAAAATAGAGATCGGACTTATTGTACATCCACATTGAGGTACAAGAATAAAAGTATCATTATGCAAATCCCCTTCATTGTGTTCTTAAGGGAACTTTCATACCAAAACCAAACCAAGACAAGGAAAAAAAGCATTGTTCCCTACAAGGGCAGTTCACACCACTGCATTGCAGTGCTGTGTGCCAAAAAAGTACACAATACAGTACCTTTCAATGCAGCAGGTTACTGAATTGCAACACCTCTGTGTGAATAGAGCTTAAACTGTCAGTTGTGACATTTCAAAAAGATCCGAATAAAAAAAGTAAAAAACTAAACTTGTGCATCAGCACTGTTTTTTCTCTTGACTTTGTGATCAGTGCATTTGCTGGTGTGAACTGCTGACTTTTAAAAAACCAGCTACTTACCTGTCCTGCGGTGTGTCCCCCGCAGCCTGTGTCACCGGCCGTCCTGTATTCCAGGAGGCCAGCATCTTCAGTGTGGGCCCCCAGGCTGTGACAGCTTGCGGCTTCACAGCCGGGTACCCACTTTGCATGCGCAAGTAGCGCTGCGCTTTCTGAATGGTCCTGTAGTCTTCTGGGACCTGCCACGTGTCTCAAAAGACTACAGGAAGGGAGGACACCTTCCGCTTCCGGTCGCCTAGGCGATCAGACTGGAAGTGGGAGCGGGTACCTGTCAAATTCGGGTACCCGTGCTCTCCCCCCACCCCCTTCCCCCCCAAAGGTGCCAATCCTTAATGGGGATCAGGGGGGAGCAGTCCTTGAAGCGGAACTTCCTCTTTTGGGTGGTGCTCCGCTTTAATGGACTGCTTGTACTGGATCTAATACTCTCTCATAGTGTGAACTGTGTATTGGGATGGCCTCTTGTATTCAAGAATGACAGAATAACAACGCAGAAGCACAGTCAGGAGAAAGTTTACACCCTATTAAAAGAAGTGCCTGAACAAAGACCTTCAAAATGGGATCACAATTCATTCTTTTAATAGAAACAGCAAATTTAGAGTGTTGTTATTGGATAATTTTTTGTGCTAAAATAAAAAAAAAAAAAACTGGATGCTGTGAGGGCACCTGCGCGCTCATGCTTCTGACCCCCACCCCTGCTCCCTCCTCGCAGGAGTTCACTCAGCGTCTCCTGTGAGACCAGGAAGTGAGAACTACGTTAATGAGCTGGGACAGTGCTGGAGCAGAGAGAAGAGTGACTTAAGTATTTAGAGATGGGGTGGGTGGGGGGGGGGGAATTGGGTTGGACAGGTAGTGGGGCATTTTTTACCTTTTAATACAGGGAAGGCATTAAAGTAAAAACCTTTTGACTTTAGAACCACTCTAAAAATGATTTAAAAAAACAAAGTACATTAATGCTATAAAAGCTTAAAATTTTTGAGGTCTTTAAAGTGGTTGATTAGGGTGAAGGTTTTTTACCTTCATGCATTCTATGCACAAAGGTTACAAAAAAACCTGCAGTGTGCATTTCCCTTCCGCAGCCCTCCCTCATACTTACCTGACACCGATCTTCATCCAGGGGTGAGCACAAGAGCCTCGGCTCTCCCAGATCTCTCTCTCCTCATTGGCTGAGAGACAGCAGCGGGAGCCATTACTACTTTCTCAGTGAATATTTCAGTGAATAGTTAAAAAATAAGTTCACCTTTTAAAAAAAAAAAAATAATAAATGTACATCTTTTTTCAGGTAAAAAAAAAATATGTATTTTTATTGGGAGCCTGTACAGTGTAAAGTATTGCACTTACGATCAACAGATCGTTAGTGCTATGCTGGGCTCTTGCAGATTCGTATGAGCAGTCAGTTACATACTGACGGGAAGCCTCTATAAAGTACCACAGTGATAAAAACAGGTAGTTAATTGAGAAATACAACCTGACAGCCGCAAAGGCTGTCGGTAGTTGTAGTTTCCCATTCACAGAATACACGCACTCCCGCATCTGTTTTGAATTGTGGCAGCAGACACGAGGAGAAGATCCCCTGTCTGCTATGACAGCGGGGATTGAGGGGAGTGCGGTGGCAGCTGCAGCACTAACATGTTACACACTGAATATGAATGTAACATGCTAGAAAAGGTGAACTTATCCTTTAAAAACTTGTTGCCTTTGCCATGGGACTATTGCTGTCTTATTTTTGTGGTTCAGCTTATTTAGGCTATGTCTCTTACCGCATCCTATACTATATGAATGATACCACTGTACCATTAAGTTGTGAAAGGGGCAGTGGAAGTGACCATGTATGTCCTCCCAGAACCATGCCCCCCCGTGCGCCACTTGGGGCACGTACCGGGCGTGATCTCTGATCATTGTCATTCGAAACGCAGCTGATCAGAGAGTAAATAGAAATCCCAGTTCTATCAGCAGTCCTCTCCTCACGCTGACAGCGCGTGAGGAGAGCTGGTAAGTGGCATTTCTCAGAGGGGACATCTGCCCATTATTACGTCTAATAGTGCCCGTCAGTGCACCAGTGATGCCTGTCAATGCCCATCACTGCAGTTTCATCAGCGCACATCAGTGAAGAAGAAAAATCACTTATTTAAAAAACGTTATAACAAAAACCTAAGAAACTTTTTTTTTTTTTGGTCAAAATTTTTGGTCTTTTTTTCGTTTTGTGTAGAAAAAAATAAAACCCCAGTGGTGATTAAATACCACCAAAAGAAAGCTCTATTTGTTTAAAAAAAAAAAAAAATGATAAAAATTTTGTTTGACAATTGTGCGGTCATGCAACACTGTACCCAAAGTGCAAGAGCGCTGAAGGCTTAAAATTGGCCTGGGCAGGAAGGGGATAAAAGTGCACTGTAGGCAAGTAGTCAAGTTGCAAATAACATTAATTAATGCACTTCTAAAGATTTCAAGAAACTTGGAACGTGGTATATGCTAATGTCTACTGTTGATCTCGTTCCTAAATCTTTCTCATCGGCTCAGACTAGTTTTAAATACTAGCAGATATGTGCCTGTTGATGAGCAAAGTAATTTTTTTTGGACATGTTGCAGGTTCTTGATTTCAAATGTTTCATAAAATATTTATTTTTCATTTGGTGTATGTATTTGTTATGAAAGAACTTGTGAAATAAATGTTACATATGATTTAATTCTAGGGAACACAAAAGAAAAAAATGGTGGTGGGGAGTATGTCAGCAGCACTGGGGATATGTATCAGAAAGGCCACTGAAATTAAATTATTCGAGTGCTCTTTAGTATGTCATGTAATCTAGGAACAGACAAGATATATTATATTGATAAATAATCTGTGATTGGTGGGAAGTGGCCATCAGTCTATAGAGTGAGTTGAGAGATTTGTCTGTTAGTCCTGGAGGTATATAATGTACGTAGATAAATATGTCAACACAGGGAAAGTGTAACACCAAGCAAATTGATAAATTTACATTTTGGAAGCCCATTTGTTTACTGTTTTACCTGCTAAAGGATTTGTAATTCTGTATACCCAATGAATTACGTACATCTGCTGGTGCCTGCAGACATAGCAATCGTTCTGATTCTGCCATAGGTTATCATACCTTAAGTCTGTGTGTAATGTATATTTAAGCTTAAGCTGATTGAAAATATATACCAACAACCATTGGTTGAACTAGATGGACTTGTCTTTTTTTTATTTTCAACCAGACTATGTAGCAATAGAACCACTAGTAGGAGAATCGGCAAGGTGGTATACAAAATACAGTTGTGTACATACGGCAGAGTTATGTTGACCCTACACTGTTTGACAAATCTTTCGAACTCTCTTTTTGAATTACGAACACTCGAGCATAAGAGCAGACGATATTGCCATGTGATGACCAAATTTCAAACGATAAATCATTAAATGAATCCAGTTTTTTGTTTTTGGCACGTGTAGTACGAACAGTATGATTTTTGTGGTCGAGATGCACATTAACCTTTCTATTTGTCTTCCATTCTGCCAAAGTTTCCCAAACTTTTCCTTCAGTTTTCTTGTCTCAAAAAAATAAAAAAAAGTCAAAACTGATTTTCTATTTGTGCCCATTAACTGGATGAAAAAGGAAGGACTGGTCCAAATGATGGATTTTCAGATGATTTTTGGGCTAGCGTATGGCCACTAAAAAAAAGGGTTTAAAATGTGAAAATTTTAGTAAAAGCCACCTTGAAATAATTTCACATAAATAACTCAAAATAGTTGAGATTAAAATACACTATAGGTTGTTTGAGAGCTAATAGCCTTCTGCGTACATTTAAAGTGGAGCTCCACCCAAAAGGGGAAGTGTTCCGCTTTAAGGACTGCTCCCCATTAAGAATTGGCACCTTTGGGGAGGGGCGATCGCAATGGAAGGTGTCCTCCCTCCCTCCCTCCCTGTAGTCTTTTGGGAAGCGTGACAGGTCCCAGAAGGCTACAGGACCATTCATGAAGTACAACGCTACTCACGCATGCGCAGTGGGTACCTGGCTGTGAAGCTGCAAGCTATCACTGCCGGAAGCCCACACTGATGATGCCGGCCTCCTCCTACAGTTTTTGTAGTTGCTGACTTTTATTTTTTGACAGCGTGAGTGAAACTCCGCTTTAAATGTTCTCTTACCTAATCATTCAATTTTGCGTTCTTTAGCTTTCTACTTTTTCTTGTTGGTTTTCTTGTATTTACTCCATATTTTCTTTTAAATGACTCGAGTAACGTTTTCATGGAGATGGCCTTAGATCCATTTGTACAAAGGAACGATGGTCACCTTTGTCATAATGTTGTATACCTGCATTTTTTTTTTTGCACAAAGCTGACGTGGAGGATATTGAATTAAGAACTCCATTGTACGTATCTGGCAAGTGATTTGCTACAAATCAGCCATACACTGCTTGACATGTAAAATCCCTAGGTCCCTTCCTTAGAAGTTCGAATCTGTATGGTCTCCGATGACAGGCTAAACCCCTGAAGAGTTGCAGTATACTGCTTTTATACCTCAGCCTGAGGCTTTTTCTATTACATTGTTTAAAGCTGTTAGTGTTGTGAACAAGTGCCGTTGGTATACGTCCTGTGAGGGTGCTTTAATCATCTGTCAAGCCCTGACCCTTTGTATGTAGACTCCTGTAAGTAGGTAAGGAATGATGAGATTTGTTATTTTTGTTCATAGATTGCAACCTTCTGCTCTTCTTTTTTTTTTTTTTTTTTTTTTTTTCCTATTTAGCTGTTGTTAATATACCTTTAATATGTTCTTAATAAGTTAATAAGTATGTTCATGGCGCTGCCCTTTATCAAAGCAGCAGTATTCGGCATGATGGCTCTGGTCTTTAAAGCAGGCTATGTCAAAAAGTTGAAAGTTTTCAGCAGCATACACAGCGTTCACTGTTATATGTGCGTGCTTCTATAGAAGAGAAATTGAAGATTATATGTGTGTTTGTGTATATGTGTGTGTGTGATAGATAGATAGAGATATATATATATATATATATATATATATATATATATATATATATATATATATAATGGGGTCCAACTCTCCCTGGTGTGTAAGACGTGGGCCTTTTCTTGTCCTGTGATTGTATGGGGTAGAGCTGGAACTTTCCATATGCTTGAAAAATTTATTATTTTGAAGAAATGATGAGTTGATAGCAATATTGCAGGTAACATTTAATGATTTTTGGGAGGTCTTTGCTGTTACAAGATGTAAGTGTGTGTGTGTGTGAGAGAGAGAGAGAGAATGAATGAATATTGATGGATAGTTGGGTGTTTTAAAAAGTTTCTTACATTGTGGCTGCAATGTCAAATGGTGATAGAAGGGCCATATGGAGGTGAAATGATAAATCCTCATGGTGCTTTATAGCTTTTCAGGACCATGGATGGAGAGATCTCCCCTGTTTGTTCAGTTAAATCTGTGGTGGCTCCAGGACACAGAACTTAGAAGTGCTCTTTTGATCCTCTCATCAATTTTGATTTGAATAGTAATGTACACAGTGTGTGTTTAATTGTTGCTATTGCAGGTTTGCATGAAAAGTTGAGCAGCTTTCACATCCATGCTAGAGGTGAGGGTTGGTTGTCTTATTTTGAGGCTTCAGAGTATTTTAACCACTAGCCTACTGGTCACTTATACCCCCTTCCTGCCCAGGCCAATTTCCAGCTTTCAGCGCTGTCGCACTTTGAATGACAATTGCGCGGTCATGCAACACTGTACCCATATGAAATTTTTATCATTTTTTTGTGACAGAGCTTTCTTTTGGTGGTATTTTATCACCTCAGGGTTTTTTATTTTTTCTTAAACCCAAAACCACTGAAAATTTTTTTTAACAAAATTTTTTTCTTAGTTTTTGTTATAAAATTTTGTAAATAAGTGATTTTTCTCCTTCACTGATGTGCGCTAATGAGGATGCAGTGATGGGCACTGATAGGCTGCACTGATGGACACTGATGGTTGGCACTAATGAGGAGGCACTGGTAGGTGGCACTGATGGGCTTTGAAAGGCAGCTGATACTGATAGGCGGCACTGACTGGCGCTGATAGGCGGCACTGACTGGCGCTGATAGGCGGCACTGACTGGCGCTGATAGGCGGCACTGACTGGGCTGATAGCACTGATTGGCATTGATAGATGGCACTGACTGGCTGATAGCACTGACTGGCGCTGGCAGCACTGATTGGCATTGATAGGCGGCAGATGGCACTGACTGGCACTGATGGATGACACTGAAAGGCAGCTCAGATGGGCACTGATATGTGGCATTGATGTGCACTGGTATGCACTGATATGTGGCACTGATCGGCACTGACAGCTGGCACTGATGGACTTTGACAGATGTCACTGCTGGGGCTACACTGATCATCAGGGCACACTGATCATCAGTGCCCTGATGATCAGTGTACATGTCCCCTCCGCGGAAAGCCGATTACCGTCTCTCCTCTCCTCTCGAGCTGTCAGCGTGACATCTCGAGAGGAGAGAAATGCTGATAACCGGCATTTCCGTGTTTACATATGATCAGCTGTGATTGGACACAGCTGATCACATGACCGAGCCGACATCTTCGGCTCTGTTCGTGATCGGTGATCACCATGCATGCGCGGTGAGAATGGGAGGACGTCGTATGACGTCCTCTCAGAACGAGAGAACCACCTTGCGCCCGTCATTGGACTATATGGCGGGCGGGAGGTGGTTAAAGACCTGTCTTAGGACTGACTTCTACACTTTTATGATTCAGCTTGGTAAATCCGGTTCAGGTACAGAACAGGATATTATTGTAGGATGAAGAGCATTTGAAATTAATAATTATAAATATAATTAATTTGAGGGGTGTTCAAGTCAAACCGGGACCTTTTTTGAGTTTACTTAAAAGAACAAATTTCAAGCAGTGGGAACTGCATTTATCTTTAGTCATATTCCACTGCTACATTAATACCTTTTATCCCAGCGTTTAATGCCTGGCAAGCTTCGGCATAGAAAGTTTTGTCAGTACGCCTGAACCATCCTAGGACAGCCTGCTTCACTTTGTCATCATTGTGTTCACTGTTCCCACAGATTCATCTCTTGTGCAATTTCAATACAGGTTATGCGTCGGTTATCCAGGATCATGCGTTCCATGCACTGAATGTTCACAGGAATGACTGTGGTGGGCTGGGAACCACTACTGCCAGGATCGTCACTCACGGATGTCATGTTTACACCATTTAAATGTCTTACTGTGGCTGAACATCTCACCACCGTAGTGTGCTTTAATTTTTCTGTAGATATCCGTGGGGTTTTACGCCTTAGTTCACAAAAAACGTCATCACCACACGCTGTTTCATGCAGACACGAACACTGTTGTCTGCCATCTTGATTAACAGTGTCTAGACTGGCCCATGACATGTGCGCCATCTATAAGTAATAGGACACACAATTGCCACTTCTGCATGTAGTACCACCATGCTAGCATCCCTTTTTTATACTTATAAAATGAAAAGTCCTGGTTTGACTTGGAACACCCCTTGTATATTCAGTTAATGTCTTTATTTTTTTCAAATTTTTTTTGGTTTGCAGCCGAGTGTCTGACACCTTTTAAAAATGTTTGTCTCTGACATGCTAAGGAGGAGTGCCCATACTGGTGAACAAAATTTCAAACCTCCACTTTGAGCTGTAATTTTTCTTTCACCGAAAAATTTGTTGTTTTTTATGTTGTGATTGGGCAGTTTTTTTTTGGGGTTTTTTTAGGCACTTTACATAAAAATGATGCTTCATGTGCTTCCAACAACTCATTGCAGTCTTTTATTCCATTTGAACTATTTAGTCTGTTCAGAATAAAGAAAGCTGAATCCATATTACTTGTTGTCTGAAGCTGGCTACATTGATCGAAATTGGGCCAGTTCAGCAGGGAGCAGCTGAATTTATTGGTTTGTTTGACTTCTATTGAAGGGGACACATTGGAAAATTCTCCTCAATTAACAGCTGCAGCCACAGATCAGTGTATTTTGACAGTGGTGGGTGCTGCTGTCGAAATACTACTGACAGAAAGGGACATCTCCATCCACCTCCTTTGTATTGATGAAAGTGTGTGTGTGTGTGTGTGTGTGTGTGTGTGTGTGTGTGTGTGTGTGTGTGTGTGTGTGTGTTTTTCGTTTTTCATTTAGTCTGCTTGCTGACCAAAAAAAAACTAATTGTGTAGGCCCATTTCACATGGGTGGACCAATCTGGTTCACCTGTCAATTTTTTTTTTTAGGCGGACCCGATCGGACCCTCGATTGTCCTATATGGAGCAGCAGGTGTAAATGGATATGTGTCCGTTTACACCTGCCAACATCCGATCCGTGCCTATTCACTAAAAATAGATGGGGATCAGTTCCCATCTGTCTAGCTGATTGGACCATGTGCCCATTTACATCCGACTGTCCAATAGAGAACAGTGGGCTGTGTCTAGTGTCTAGTGCAGTGGTGGGCAACCTTTTTTTTCAACTGAGCCAAATCTCGCCAAAACCATGATTGAAATTTATTTTGAGAGCCACATTTTTAAAACTGAAAATACATCTCCCATATAGTAATTCATCCCCCATAGTAATTCATCCCCCATATAGTAATTCATCCCCCATAGTGTAATTCATCCCCCATAGTGTAATTCATCCCCCATAGTAATTCATCCCCCATAGTAATTCATCCCCCATATAGTAATTCATCCCCCATATAGTAATTCATCCTCCATATAGTAATTCATCCCCCATAGTAATTCATCCCCCATATAGTAATTCATCCCCCATAGCAATTCATCCCCCGTATAGTATTTCATCCCTCGTATAGTATTTCATCCCCGTATAGTATTTCATCCCCCGTATAGTATTTCATCCCCCGTATAGTATTTCATCCCCCATATAGTATTTCATCCCCCATATAGTATTTCATCCCTCATATAGTATTTCATCCCCCATATAGTAATTCATCCCTCATATAGTATTTCATCCCTCATATAGTATTTCATCCCCCCATATAGTATTTCATCCCTCATATAGTATTTCATCCCCCCATATAGTATTTCATCCCTCATATAGTATTTCATCCCTCATATAGTAATTCATCCCTCATATAGTATTTCATCCCCCCATATAGTAATTCATCCCTCATATAGTATTTCATCCCCCCATATAGTATTTCATCCCCCCATATAGTATTTCATCCCTCATATAGTAATTCATCCCTCATATAGTATTTCATCCCCCCATATAGTATTTCATCCCCCCATATAGTATTTCATCCCCCCATATAGTATTTCATCCTCATATAGTAATTCATCCCTCATATAGTATTTCATCCCTCATATAGTATTTCATCCCTCATATAGTATTTCATCCCCCATATAGTATTTCATCCCCCCATATAGTATTTCATCCCCTCATATAGTATTTCATCCCTCATATAGTATTTCATCCCCCCATATAGTATTTCATCCCTCATACAGTAATTCATCCCTCATATAGTAATTCATCCCCCATATAGTATTTCATCCCTCATATAGTATTTCATCCCCCCATATAGTATTTCATCCCTCATATAGTAATTCATCCCCCCATATAGTATTTCATCCCCCCATATAGTATTTCATCCCCCCATATAGTATTTCATCCCTCATATAGTAATTCATCCCTGATATAGTAATTCATCCCCCATATAGTATTTCATCCCCCCATATAGTATTTCATCCCTCATAAAGTAATTCATCCCTCATATAGTATTTCATCCCCCACAGTACTATTCCCCCCCCCCCCCCCCCCCCCCCCCTTCTAGTAAGCCAAGTCCCCCGTGTCAATTCACTTACCTTTTGCGTTCCTCTCGCTGTCTTCCCGCGCCGTTCGGGTCTTCAGGGCGGACTGTGAGAGGAGCCTAGCTCCCCTCCCCTCACGTTCGGACACGCTGCCCCCCGCCTACACACATCCTGACAGCCACATCCGCAAGCCGGATTAAAAGGTCCGCGCGGACTTTTTGGGGCTGCCAACCGAGAGGAGGCAGGGGAGCGGCCGACCGAGAGGAGGGAGGGGAGCAGGCGCCCGGCACACAGAAGAGCCGCATTAGACTGGGTAAAGAGCCGCATGTGGCTCGCGAGCCGCGGCTTGCCGACCACTGGTCTAGTGGATCAGCAGTCAGATTTGCTTGGCAGAGTCTGCCCATGTGAAAGGGGCTTTATTCTGTCTGCTGTTCATAAATTATTTATTTGTTAATTTCTTTGTAATTTAAGTTGTTTTTTTTTTTTGTATCCCGTTTTGCTTCATCCACCTGATCTGTCCTATTTATCCTTCTGGGTATTCCGGTGCAGAGAACATCAGTATGATAGGCCTGTGCAAGATTAAATTGCTATTGAGTAATGTTTGTGGAGCGTGGGCAGAGTGCATGGGATAATTATAAACAGACATAAGGGAGAACAACTGAGTATTCTGGAAAGTTTTAAATCCAAAACAAATTTGTGAAACCATCTCCTCCTCAATGCAAAAGTCTAATGTATCTGTCATTAGAATAAAGTGGCCAAAGCTGGCCACATACTGTATTGGCTACTTTCTGCTAAATCAGCTAAAGTTCCAGCTGTGCATTACCCTGTTGGAACCACCTGGCTTCACAAACTTTGACAAAAAAAAATTGGATGAGCTGTGTGTGTCAAAGCGATATTCTTTAGATTTCTCTTTAATATATTTAGCATATTCAATATATGGGTTATCTGTTTCTTTAGGTAGCCCTTATTTTAGTTTAAGGAGAAATATATCCACGATGGGTAAGGCCCCTTTCTTTCTAGCAGTCCGATTTGGGTCCGCCTGGCTGTCTTTTGGTGGACATGATCAGACCCTCTATTCTCCTATATGCAGCTGCAGATGTAAATAGACCCCTGTCTGTTACACCTGCCTACACCCAAATTGGGTGTAAATGGACAGTCAGTCCGTTTACATCTGGCTGCCCATACTGTAAATGGGCTGCCTCCGTGTCCGCTTTGCATTAGAGGAGTGGACACAGACCTGTTGCTCACCTGCTGCTCTGCTAAATAGGGATCAGTGGCCAGATTCCCCACTGAGCAAGCGGATTAAAACTGATTCTGCCCCGTGTGAAAGGGGCCTATGTTATTCCACATCTAAACCGTTAGGTTTCATACTGACGGTCCGATCGGATCCGCCTGTCAGTTTTTCAGGCAGACCCGATTGAACCATCCATAGACCTCTATGGACCAGAGGGTGTTAGCGGACAAGTGTCCACTGACACCTGCCAGCATCCGATCGTGTATGCCAAAAACAGACAGATGGGGATCAGATGGCAATTGGATGGAAACAGACAGGCGGTCAGCTTCCATCTGACTGGGGCAGAAAAAGCTGGCTTTGTCTGTATCCGCTCTGCAGCAGTGGAGCAAAAACACAGACCTGTCATCCATTTGCTCAGCGGGAATCAGGGAAAGATCCCCTGCTGAGCCAATGGATCCTCTGGCTGGTCCGCCCCATCTGAAAGGGGCCTTAACAGCAATGTTTACAGATGTGTTGGTATTGAATACATTGTTTTATAGTGAGTGGGAATTCAAAGACTGGTTGCATAAGCTCGAAAGAGCAGGGCCCTCGAACCCCTCGTGTATTGTTCTGTTACTGTATTGTC